TCCCACTTCCTTCCTGAATCAATGACAGCAGCACCACCCTTTCAATAGACATATACGGGGCACCAGAATCCATATACTGGACCTTGAATATTCAGACAACTCTGTTGTCGAGGGCATAACGATTCTGCCTCAAACATAGAGTCTCTCCTACACACCCATGGAGCTGACACTCTCATCAAGGTTTCTGTTACGACTTTTGTATTACAATTACTGTCATATTGTAGTCCATGCCCACAACTAATACAGTTCTGTGCCTTGGCACTGTATGCATAGATCATATTCCTAGAAAGTAATTTTCACCTTACCACCCTTCTCTTTGCAGCCTTCCTTATGCATTAAATACAAGGTTTTTATCTTCATGTTCAAGATGTTGATATTCTTTCCCAGACACTATTAGAGTCAACGTAAAACTGTGTATAGACGGTTACTATGCTGAGGTGAGGCAGCAAGCAGTGTCAAACCTCAGGTCTGGCTCTCAGTGCTGCTCAATACTGCAAGCAAATAACAGTGCCTTAAAGATCACATTCACATGGCATCTGCACAATTTGGAGTGAAACAAGCTTGAGCCTGCTTTCAGTACAAGCAAACAGTGTTTGAAATGGGAGAACAGCACTTTCATGTCTGTTCATAATGCATTGTGCATTTACAAGGCAATATGAAAAGCAGGACAAAGATACACTAAAATGGCATTAAACTAGGAAATGAAAAAAAGCAATAATCCTTTGCTGAAAACCAACCATTATATGGTCTTTCTTTGTCAGATGTCAAACTACTTTTATAATTTGAAGAATCTTGATTTCTTTGTATTATTTGAAAAAGCATACTTAATATATTTTGAAATAGCCTTTTTACTGTCTTAGAAATGTTAATAAAATGCTGGCACCTTTCTCTCAAGAAGTTTTGCTCTATGCCTTTGGAATAACTGCCACTGTTCTGGAATACTTTTTTATAGCAATTTCAGTTGGATACATTGACAGAACACACCACTTCCAAAGCATGTGCAAAAAGTGCTATACCAGACGTTATTCCTCTGGTGGTGTGTTTCTAGACTCTCCCATATTTAATATTTTAAACTTTTACAAAGTCTTAGCCCATCATACAAAAAAAAAAAAAAAAAAAAAAAAAAAAAAAAGACTATACTTAACACATGACATGCTTTCCATTTACGTTTCTTGTAATATATTCTCAACACACAGAATGTACTATGCCATACATGTATTATGAGCCCAGTTACAGCTGGATCTTATTCCAGTCAAGCCAACCTACCACAAAATGCTACTGTCATTATTTCTGTAAGGGTGTGTTTTGTGAATGCTATGTAGTTGCTATAAAATGGGTGATTTAATGAATATATGGCGAACCTGGTTAATAGTTTAATTATTGTATTGAAATGTGAATTCTTCTTTTTGTAAGAAAAAGACTCATAAATATGTATTAAAAAATTCCTTGGTAGTCTATAAAAATGTTTTATGAAATTAGTTATTTTGACTATTAGGACAGAATAGAAAAATTGGCTCTTGTTATTGCACACTTATTTTTCTTAGCACTTACTCCAATACTAAAAATCTTTGTGTCTTCATACATGCTTACTGGCTACTGCCCGTTATATACACACTAGAACATGCTCTTCAGTGAAATTCACAGTATTTCAATCTCAAGTGAACACATTCCTCCATTATTAAAGGTGCAGAATTCACTCTGAGATTGCTTCTTACTTAGAATCCATTCAACATTCAGCCACACTGTGAGTACTTAAATTTCAAAAATATTTCTGAATTTAATGAACATTTTGATGTATATGAAAAACAGAGCCTGGAAAGATGATCCTGTGGTGAACTCCAACCTGGGACATTAAGTTTAAATGCGTAAGGCACACTGTTTTCTTCTGCAATGCATCACAAATCACTTAATAATTCCTATATCCTACATTTTCCTTTTATAAGCAGTTTCAGTAGTTCACCTCGCTATTTCAGTTGGTTGATGTGTAATGCTGAAATTTTCTTACTACACATATGTAGAGAGCTAAGTAAAAAACAGGATCCTAAAGTCAGCTAGCTCCTTTATTAAAAAAAAAAAAAAAATTCCTATAAAAGAAAGAGAGCAAGCCCAGCACAGATGCCTTGGTACAGTAAAAAGAAACTCCTCTGGGAAAAGCCTGAGCACAAGCTACAAGTCACAGAACACCTCCAGGTTTTGTGATCCTTAGTGTCTAGTTAATATTATTGCTACTTTCATTGTGTGAAACTTCTTAAATTTGGTTCACAAAACATGAACAATTATTTGAAATTGCTAAAATTTACTTAATTTTCAATACAAAATACACAATACATATTTCATTACATCTGCACTGTGCATATGAGTGCAAGTGTCTGCAATAATCACAAATTCCAGTAAGTACTCCAAAAATATGACTTATATGCACAGCCTCTGGGATCAAGGCCATATGTAGCTGCAAGATGGCCTGCACAGCTGCTACCACATCACATAAGCCTGGAGAGTGCCAAGATAAAGGGAGGGAAATGACACTGAGTCATAACCCCTTTTTCCTTAAATAGCTTATCACTCTGACTCCTCTGTATTGTTCTGCAATGTATTATGTCCTACAAATACATGCTGCCCTGCCATGTGCACACACAGGCAGCTGTTCTCAAAGGAGAGAAGACAGCCCAGAAAAATGGATTCAAACACTGAGAAAGCATGCCAAAATAGCTGAGTGAAATACTGACATGAAAGGAAGAAAGGTCAGAACAAAGTATGAAAGTATCGAAGTGTTATATGGGGCAATGCCTCAAAGCGTCCTGACTGTGACAAGTTGACAAGAAAATCCTGACTTAGAATTAATTTAAGTCAAAAAATAGTATGACAAAGAGCCAGTGAACCAGCTGTGCGGCACAGCGATTATAAACTCTGGAAGGCCACTGAGGTTTAAAAAGATGAAAGCAACAAAAATACATATTTTCATCAGTGACCGACTGAGTTACAAAAAACCAAAATTGTTGGTTGAAGAAGGGCCAGAAGTATGTCATCAAGGTCTACAAGAAACTTCCAAAGCAAGTTATTTCAGTGTCCAGAGGAAATGGAAAGGAAAACTCAAATCATTACCCAGTAGGATACACAGACATGAAATAACTCTAATTGATGGGAGGCCAGGAGGGAACTGGTTGGAGTCACAGAACCACTTCTGGCTCCCTGGTCCCACTTTTGTCTTCTTCTTTGCACAACAGAATTTAAGACTCGTATATCTGGGAATTAGTTTTACACGAAAAATCAAAAAGGAGGGAAGCACCTCTTTATTTTCTTTGAAGATCTTTCCATGATGAGTTTCTGATTCCAATTTTATACTCATTGCATGCAAAACCAATCTAGGTAAGAGATCACATTATTTAGTTTTTCAAAATACATTGATGGTATTGAGTGCATCACATCCAAGACTGCTTTATATGCAGTCATAATCAAATTCAACTAGTTCTTATGTAGAACCCACAGATGTTTGCCATTACTAGTACTAAAAAGCAAAGAATGCTATATGACTTTAGGCAGGCTGGATATAACTTCAGGTCAGAATTTTTCCAAAACAGCAGCTGTGGTAAATACCCCTCACCTGTAGTCAGAGCCAAAGCATTCTTGGCAATTCTGTGGAACAAAATACCTTGACTACATTATGAAAGGATGGGTTTGAAGAAGTTTCCTTTCCGTTGGATCTTTATTAATCCAAATGAAACCTAGACTGCTGCTGAACAACCAGTGCCACTTTCTGAAACATCCGAAATGGAACTCTGATCCCACTTGCATGGAAGACTTGATGAAAATTACCGCCAAAGGTGATTTGGCTGCAGTTCACTTACAGAAGATGCCAGAGCACCAGTTAGAAATCAAACATTGAAATACAAGATCTAAATGCTAGACCCTGCAGACAAAATCCATTACAGAGACAGCTGACAACAGTTGTATTTGTTTAAATATTCGGACTTCAAAGCAGAAAAATTCCAGGTGCAACAGTGCCATCCAGGGGCCAGCTAATTGCTGGTGAACATCCACAGAATTTCCTAAAACTGATTTTATTCCTATGAACAAAAAAGCTTTATATTTGAAACAATTTCCCCAAAGATTTTCAAATAAGATCGCAGGACTTTTGAATACTGCCACAGATAACCAGCAATGTGAAACAGTTGCCGATTCATTCCCTAGACATGGTAAGACTTGCTTACATTTAGGCATTAGCTTTGTAAAAGTCCCGTCTTGGTAATACAGAAAAATATATATAACAAATCAACCGTTCCTTCTAGCACAATAAACTGGAAACAATGAGGAAAAGTTCTGATGCAACTTTGCCAAACTTTTCAGACCGAGTCCAAAACATGCTCAGCCCCACTTCACTACAGCTACTTAAAATGAACTATGTAAAATTTTACTGCGCTAGATCATTTGGTTTCTGCACGATCCATCCTTTCTGCCTTCTGCACAAATCGAAAGGTCAACGTGAACATTTTAAAGCAGTTTGAAAATGGAGGCAGGTTTTGTGTCATGGGGGAAATTAGGCGGGAGTGGGGTGGAGATAATGAAACCTAAGTCTAGAAATACGGCACTGTTCACTGTGTACTCACGTAATCTTTTTTTTTAGGCTAGTTAAATAATGGCAGCAACAGGACGAGAAAAGTAAGAACACCAGATTATTTATAAAATGATAAACTATTCGGGGGGGCAGGCAGGTACCTCTTCAGTTTAAGGATTTAGAGGTGTACATTTTCCTACGTTTCAGATTCAGCCAGCCGAAGAAGCAATGCGGCAACGTAAAACGCAAGGCAAGGGCGAGACGTTCCCGGTTTGCGCCCGCGCGAAGGCAGCTCTGTCCCGCGGCCCGCCCCCTATCAATCACCGCCGCACGGGCCCCACCCACCACCCCCTTCCGCCCCGCCCCCCGCCCACAGCCCGCCCTCCCCTGTCCTCAGCGAGGCGGCACCGGCGTGGCGGGGGCGGGGCCGGAGGACCGCGGCCTTCGATAGCGGGGCCTAGAGAGGCCCGACCCATAGAGTTCCAGCCCGGAGCGGGGCCTGCCCGGGCGGGCGCGGCGCATGCGCGCAGTTTCGATTGGCGCCGCCGGTGCGACGGCGTGAGGAGGGGGAGGCCGGAGGCCAGGGCTCGGCTCGGCTCGGCTCGGCTCGGCGCCATGGCCCCCGTGCTGAACCTCAACAACGAGGTGAGCCACTAGCTCCCCGCGGCCTCTGGGATGGTGGTCGGCGCTTAGGCCGGCGGGGGCGGCCGGGGAGGGCCCGGCGCGGGAGCGGGGAGAGGAAAGTGTCGGAGCCTGGCGGCGGCGGCGGGTCACCGTGTGCGCGGGCAGGGCCGGGGCGGGCCCTTCCCGACCCTCCCCAGGGCCGGCGTGGCTGCCTGGGGCGGCAGGGAGGGCCCCGGCCGCGGCCGTCGCCGTGTGGCCTGAGGCGGCTGCCGCTGTCCCCCGGGAAGGGGCTGCGCGGTGGGAATCAAGCTCTGCCTTGCGAAGACGAGCAGCCGTTACGGGGGGTGATGCGCAGCAGTCGGCACGTGCGCTTCGGTTCCGTGTCCCGTCGTGGAGTGCCGTGTCATCACCGTGTCGTGTCATGGCTTACTGCGTTTGTGTTCGCACTGGGGTTTTGCAGGTGGTTCTCGCAGACCTACCAAACTCTCAGCTCCCTGTCTCCTGGATAGCAAAGATAAGATCTTGCCCTATTTTCTTGGAAGTGGAGGAGCTGATAATGAGAAATTAATAGGTTAGGCCTAACCTTTTCCAGTTCTATAAGAAGGTTGGTGTTTCATATTTATTTCTGAATTCTTTCCTGTTCTATAGCATGAATTAAATTAGGCGTGTTTCACTTGCAGTGGGTTTTGACTACGCATTTGCAAATCGTTGCGTGCAATAAGTCTGACCCAACTAAACCATGCTCTTTAAACAGTTACTGCAGCACCTAAAGAGTAGCTGACAATTCTGCTGAGCATGTATTGTATGAGCTTCTGCAGATGGCATTGTGCACTTCCGCGGTTCCTAGATAATTCACAGCATGGTTAAAGTTACTGTTTGTCATCAGCAGAACCAAAATGAGTATAATACAAGCATTCTCAGATTACGCTTGTATTTAACGTAAGTTTTATGTTCTAGACATACACTAGCTATGAGAGAGGTTGATTTGCAAGTCAAGAGTTTAGTGAAAAGTAGCCTTTTCATCAGAAAAAATGTCATTTGATATTATGTAAGATGTAGATATTTACTCTGATTTATTACAAGCTTTTGATTCTTGCTATTAACAAATATCTGATCAAACATGAATGATTTCACATTGAAGTATGATAGTGAATCACCAGAGAAAGAAGAGAGCATTTCATTGCTGAAGCAGGGATTTTTTTGACTGAGTTCAGGTGATGATTCCTAGTCTTTCATCAAAGAGATACTTGTATAACACTGGATGAAGAAGGAAGCATTGTTTGACTGAGGAATGACCAAACAGTTCTTCGGAAAAAGATAGAATACGATGAGTTTCTGTACAAAACATTGAAAAATTTCAGTAAGGACGCTGGGAATGCTGTTGCTTCTTACAGTTCAAACATAACCCTATCCTAAGAGGAAACTCAAAGTAGGTTCTTAGATTTTGTGGAGGTGGGAGCTTTCATCAGAGCTAGCACAAAAGTAGGAATTCTCTAATAACAGGTCAATCCAAGATGCAAGGTAGTACAGAGACTAAAATCCTGGATGCAGTCTTACCAAGAGGAACAGAAAGTCAGGCAGGCTAAGAATATCATGGAGGCCTAGTGTGAGTAGATCAAACAATATTTTCCATTTCTGCACCTATACCTTTTCGTAAGGATCAGAGCTGTATTACGTACTATGGTGACTAGTCATAAAGTCTGAAAGAAATGCTTTCTTTACCAATACCTGGATGTCCTCTGTGTATTTGTTACTGAGATGCCCTTGTAAGAATGTGTGTTGCTGGTCAAAAATATTTATCTTCCTCTAACAAGGGTGAAATGGTGGAATTTGTGTGTGAATAAAGTAATGATTTTAGAAAGTCTAATGTTTTAAACTATTTGTGTAGTCTTACAGTTTGCTAAGGGAAAATGTTATTACAAAGCAGCTGTCTACTATGCACCTTTGGCTGATCGTGGAATGCCAATGCTAGGGATCACGTAAATCTCTTCCCCCATTAGGCTGTCAAATAGACGTGATGGCAGTTGTTGAAGAAAGAACCTTGTGACCCTTATACTGGTGATAAACTTGTCTTAGCTGGATTTACAGTAGTTCTGTATAAGGCCTTGTAAATTCAGCTCTCTTAAATTAGCATATTCTAGGTTTTAATTCTGGCAAAGGCAGACTTATGCTGTTAATTAATATAACAAACTGTAATAACCTGATAAATGATGGAATCTTAAGAAATTCTAGGATGATAGGTTTAGATTTTTTTTTTTTACCAATTCATATTTTGTTTCTAGGAGGAACAAGTAGTCCAAAACCAGTGTTTCTCAGTAAGATAAATTGGCACCTTTCTTAATGTAAATTGACCTTTATTTCCATTGCTTCCTTTATATGTTTGATACCAGTAATTAACAAAACAAATAGTTATCAATATCCCAAAACTTTTTTGTTCTGGAGTTTCTACAGCATTCCTATAAACTGTATTGTCATAGGTAAAAGTTGCACAGCATCTGCTTTTTACAGATAACATATACTTGTTTAGCTTATTTCTAAATGAGAAGGATAGTTACTGAACACCTGAGTAAGTAGCTTCATTTTATTATAATTTAATGGCATGAGTTGTTCTGGCATTACTGTGCTGGTGAAAACACAAAAACCCCTCACTCTCAATGGAAAGTTTTGTTAGTGCAGTGTAAAAATCAAGCCTTTGGTTCCAGTATCGGAACGAAGTCAAGTGTATACATGTTTTGAAATTAGACGACATTCAATTTGGTGATGATTTACCTTCTTATCACAAAAGAAACTTGAAAATTGAATATTGTTAAGAAAATCTAATCCTCCAAGGAAATGAGGCAAATGAAGGACTGACGTGTGTCTCCTTTCTGACTGCTTTTTAATTCCTTGGCTAGTTTCAGAGAATTTGGAAAAGAATGGAGACCTCAAAAGTTGTTCGTTTTGTTGCTTTTTAAATTATCGTTTGGTTAATGAATAGTGCCTTCATGAAGCAACATGCTTGTAACTGTTCTGGTCTAATAGGGAACAGAGAATGAAAATGTCATACTGTTAAGGTGACTGTATGAGTGGGATCTGAAGTTACTGTACAGTGGTAAGGATTCTGGGTGAAAATAAGAGGGAATTACAGTTGTGATGAGGTGAAATAAGACAAAAATATAAAAAATCTGTCATAATTATTCAGCTATTCACAGAATAAATAGATATATTCATAATTTATTTTAATTTTTCATGTAAAGTTGTTTATATCAGTGTAACAGCTTGAGAAACTCACCTTATTTCCATGTTAACAAATGGGTATCGTGCCAAAAGCATATTAATGTTATTTTTCTTTTTCCCTAATCGCATATATATACCTAGATGATAGAAAAAAGCAAGATCTTGACAGAACCCATAGTTAGCAAGGTCCAGCAATTTTAGGAAGCCATCATCTTGATACTGGCAAATAATGTGGTACAGTTTCAGTGTGACTGTATGACTGAAAAATTAAGATTGAAGAGAGTTAAACCACACAGATGCTTTTATAGTTCAGACATCCCATTCCTGTATGGATTACTGCATTTTGATTTCTGTGCACAAGGTGTGGGAGGGAGGAAGTAAAGACTGCAGAAAGTTAGAAGAAAGTGAAACAGTGAGGTCTAGAATTTTTGAGAAAGAGGAGCAAAATGCAGCATTTCTTGCCATTTTTTTATCATCACCTTCTTTTATACAAGGGAAAACATAACTTGTAGAATGAAAAATTAAGTTTTGCAATTATTATGTAGCAACTGTGTGCGATTATGTTTTTGTAGGGTTTGTCTGTTATTAAGCCTGGTTAGGCTTAGTATTCTCATCTTGTGTTTAATTTTATAAGCATGCATGCTGAAGGAATCTTTTGAAAAAACTATTGCTCTCTTGTATATGTTTCCTTTTTTAAAAAGCTTTCTAAGAATTTTCAGGTGTCTTGTCACAGAATAGCTTCCAAAGTTAAACTTTTCTGGAAACATTTGCTAGATGGCAGCACATAATCATCAACTGTGGTAGACAAGGGCAAGTTTAAAGGGAGATAGCTCATGTTTAATATGAAAAATGATTGTTAATCAGCATTATACAGTAGTGTAAAACTGAAGATTTTGAATGGGAATGAACCCAGATTTCTGTTTTCTTCAGAAGCCATTCTTCTTAAATTATGTTCTTGCTTTTACAGTTATGCTCTGCTACCAATATCATATAATTACAATAAATACAGTTATTTCTCTGCCCTCTTTTTTCTTTTCTTTTAGAATTAAATTCTGCTTACTACTACTTCCAGGAATTAAGATGCAAAAGTCCATGAAGCTAATGCAAATGATGTCTCAAGGAATTGTTTTAAAAATAAATGTTCTATTGTGTATCTACATGAGTGCTGTAATCACTGAAGTTGAATAATAAGGCATCATGTTATGTAAAGAAACTTTAAATGTTCTCAGAATTGAGAGTTGTGTCTGTCCATGGGACATGAATTGAATTTGCCAAACTTGTTTGGGTATGGAAACTTAAGTATCAGGTGAAGTTTTCTCTTCACTTTGTATTTAATAATCAATTGAATGCATTCAAAATAACATCTGTATATAAGAATGTTGTGGACATCTCACTGAATTAGAAAAGATTGAGCTTTGTATACAAAGTTATGCTTTTAAATAATAAAAGCTGATGTCTACACAATGCTTGTTACCCACAATTGAAGTATTTGGGGGTTTGTTCCCTAAAAGGTGGAGTCAAGGTAAAAGTATATCTTCAGAGTAACGTGTGTGCACACGTTTTTCAGTCTGCTAAACAAAGTGCAGATTTGAAAAATGTTATGTAGGGAGCTTAGTAATGAAGCTCAAGGTGGTAGATTCCATTCAGTGGTTTGGGTCCCAACACTTTGTGTTGTTCTACTCAATGCAGCACTACTCAGGCCCTTTGACTCTTTAGATGTGGTACTGACATCCTGTCCTCTGAGTTATCTGGACTGCAATTTAGGTGAAGGACATGCTCAGAAAACAATGTAAATATGTGGCTAA